CCGGGAGCCAATTAGCGCTCGGAGGCCAGACGGCGGCCACTTCCTCGTCGCCCGGCCGCGCGCTCGGGAGGCTCGGGCGGCCGCGGGGCGGGGCGGGGCACGGCGCCGAGCGGCTCTGACTGCGTTCGCTAGTCCGACGGCCAAGGGTGGGCGCAGGTCCCTGAAGGCGCACCGCTGCACAGCAGACAAAAAGAAACTTTGGGGCCCCCGGAGTGCCGGCTGGCGGGGCGTTCGGTTGGCTTTTCGTGCTTGGTCTCGAGGCTCCGCCGCTCCAGGAAGCGCGATGTCGAAGCCGCCACCCAAACCGGTCAAACCAGGTAAGGGAGCTGCTCGCGGCGTCCCCTGGCCGCCTTGGTGCCCTGCGCTTCCTCTGCCACTTGGCAGGGCAGACCACGCACGTACCCGGCCTGGAGCCTCGCTCTCGGGAGCCGACCCACCGGGATGGGTCGCTTTGTTGCGTTCGCAGAGGGGAGGGAAGCATTTTGGACAGCAAGAGGATTTCCAGGATTAAAATTTTTTTTTTTCTTTTAGAGAGGAGTCGCCCTCGATTTTGCGACATTATCATTCGCTGCAACTTTCTAGTGGGTGTGATGGCTACTTCCCATTGAAGCTTCACTGGAAGACAGGGATCTTGCCCCTCTTAAAGAAATACATATATGTATCTATGCCTTGCAATGGTCTTTTAGCCACTTCCTCTTTTTTTTCAGTGTGTGTCACTGTCAAATTAGAGTTCTTGACCGGCCAGAGCGAACGGGAAGTGCTCTGCTTGCAGAGTGGGGTGGGTGAGCGAGTGTCCTTTGGGACTTTTGAGAGGAGCCGCTTTTGAAACTGACCTCGGGATCTTGGGGAAAGCATTTAGAAAACTCTGTACTCTAGCTCGTGGCGAGGAGAATCTAGGCTGCGGCAGAGTAATCTCGGCTGTTGCAATTCGGGAGTGTCACTTTATCGTGCCGTGCAAGTCCTCTGCCTCCTCTCCCCCAATGAATTTGCGGGGTTTAAGCTGGAGAGGGTGAGATTACTAAATTCCTCCAAGCAGTGTTCTTGGCCTACAGTCCCTGTTCATTTTTGATTCTATTCTTAGAATATTTTCTGTGATATGGAGAAAGGAGAATGTGAAAGGGGCTGACGTATTTCAATTCAGTACTGTAACAAACTCGTGCATTCATTTGGTGAGTAATTACGGGAAACGTAGGAAATGGAAGATAAATGGCCCTGATACACTCTCGGGTTGTTTCTTCCAGTCTCCTGTAACTTCAATATAGCAGGAGCTGAAATGTGTCCTTTCACATGAAATTTAGAAGTAACCTTGGTTGCAAGTACTACACCTTTCATGATTATCTAGTTTTCTTTCTTTGCCATCATACTGTGTCAGTTTCAAGTCATTTTATTTGAAGATTATGTACAAACTCATATCTGTGACAGTCATTCACCGAGGACTTAAATTTTTTGGTGGGCAGGGTGTGAAGGAAGTTGCTGGGACTTTGGCTTTGCTGTGAGCAAAGATGGGGCGGGGCTAGTGCTGGGTTCTGTGTTTCTTCATAAGTGGAATCTGATGAGGAGTTTGCATTTTAAGAGCACGTGTAGGAGGTAGCAGCTTTCTAAAATGAGATGTAAATCAGGACCTCAAGTATCCAACAAAGCCTTGTTGTTCTTCTTTGATCGCCAAAGTACTTTATTTTAAAGAATGTCCTGAGAAGTCCATGAGCTTTTTCATTTCTCTAGACCTTCAAGTGATGTCTGTGCTGCAGCTGGAGAAGCATTGACTGCGATGTGCAAGGGTGTGCATGAGTAGTCGGGCATACTCAGGTCTGATGGAAGGATCGCACTGTTACCGTTGGGGATACACTCCCACAAACTGTTTTGTTGTTGGACATTGCTGCATTCTCCTTCTCTTCAGCAAATCAGAAAGCAAATGTTTGAAAGAGCTTTGACTCCACACTGATTTTTAAATGAGATCCGAAGTCAAGGTGACCACAGAAATCAGTTTGTGAGTTTACTCATTTACAGTGAGACATTCTACTTTCAATCAGAGTTGAGACATCGCATGGCCTGGCTTAATGGAAAACAAAACTGTCCCATTAGAGTAGTGGCACGCACGTACTGAGTGCCAGGCACTGATCTAATCACTTTACATGTATTAACTCATTTACTTCTCACAACAACCCTGTTGGGTCAGTGCCATTATTGTTCCCATTGCACAGGCGAGGAAATTAAGGCAAGGCACAGAGAGGTTAAGTAACTTGCCCAAGGTCAGTAGCCGGTAGAGCGGAGCAGGCAGGATTAGCACTGAGGTCCCTCTGGTTTCAGAATCTGCGTTTCTTACTCATAATGCTGTTCTGCCTTAACATCACCGTGCACCATTCACATGCATGGTCTTGTGTATGTTAGAGCTGGTGGGTGGGAGTGGAAAGGAAAGTGCCTCTGGTCCTCAGTCAGATTTTCGGATCACAGATGGCATATAAAGGTCACCCCCTGGCCAACAGCAGTGAGGAGAGTGGTGTTGAGCTCTACACTCTTGTCCTGCAGGCAAGATGCATGGGTGAAAAATGTCTGGAGCAGCTTGAAATTAGGGGTGGGGGGGTGCATTTAATTTTTGGCTTCTTGATTTGTTTATACCCTGCCTCATCCCAGATGTTAAGAAGGCAAGAAAGGGCCATGTAGGAGGAGGGAAGAAGAATAAGAGGAAACCAGAGGAAAGGTTAGCTTACAGACATGCATGTCCCAAGGTCCTCCCGGGTTTCTAAAAGATGGCCATAGATTTGGCTCTCAGCTTCCGGCATAAAGATAAAAGATCAATTACAATATTCCTACTCATCATAAAATTAAAATGTATTACTTGCTCTGAGGAGAGTTACTTTAATGACCCTGAGATCTGAGATAAACTTCCCATGGGTTCTTTCAAAGTGTTGGAGTGAACCGGACATCTCTATAAGATGGTCTCTATCATGGTAGTAGTCCCTGTAGCTTCCTGCAGAACAAGACCCCAGCAAAACAGCATGGTTCAAGTCCACACGCAGTGCCAAAAGGAGGGAAGCTAGGTGAGGGAGCACATAGGCCTTCATGGAAGATTTTAGTAGCAAGAGACATTAGGCTATAATGTCAGTAATATACCTATTGGGATGATTGGCATATGTCCCATAAGGGGACCATTTTCTTTTGTACCTTCCTCGGGTTACACCAGAGTGTGGGTTTGCAGCCACATCCAAAATTCATTTGCTAAACATTTCTTAATATATGCAGCTAATCTTTTAGGCCTCGTGCTAGATATTGGGGTTCCAAGGAACGATAAAATAAAGTCTCGCCCATGGAGGTGTTGAGCCTGATGGGGCAAATTTATGTATCTTAGACAATATCTTAGATTAACCTATATCTGTAATTGGATGGCTGATCTTACCCATTTTGTTAAGAAAAATCTTGGTATTAAAAATAAAAGTAATACGTTTTTTCTACCTCTTTTTTTCTCCAAGCCTCAAAGTATATATTTTTTATTGTAGAAAATTTAGGAAATACATATAGAAAAACAATATATAAACATAGAAATACCATCCCTGCCTATCTAGTGATAATCACTGTTCTCAGGATTCTCCAAATCTATTTTATTCAAAAAAGAAAACACAGTTATCCTCAGAAGGGTGTCTCAGTTTCAATTTTAAGTGGTTTGCTGTTGATTGGCTCATTTCCTACAGTCAGTAAATTATCATTTACAGTCTGCTTGAAAATCAGTTGTCAGGGCGCCTGGGTGGCTCAGTCGATTAAGTGTCCGTCTTAGGCTCAGGTCATGATCTCACGGTTTGTGAGTTCCAGCCCCACATTGGGCTCTGTGCCGACAGCTCAGAGCCTGGAACCTGCTTCAGACTCTGTGTCTCCCTTGCTCTCTGCCCCTCCCCCACTTGCACTCTATCCCTCTGTCTCTCTCTCTCTCTCTCAAAAATAAATAAACATTAAAAAAAAGAAAAATCAATTGTCACATTTTGACTTTTCCTTTCTTACTGATTTCTTTTTATAGGGTCACTTTTGGCCACTCAAGGTCTGTCG